GTCAGTAACAATATGTTATTTGTATTGAGTCAGTAACAATATGTTATTTGTATTGAGTCAGTAACAATATGTTATTTGTGTTGAACCAGTAGCAATGTGTTATTGGTGTCGACTCAGTAGCAATATGTTATTTGTATTGAGTCAGTAACAATATATTATTTGTGTTGAGTCAGTAACAGTATGTTCTTTGTGTCGACTGAGTAACAATATGTTATTTGTGTTTAGTCAGTAACAATATGTTATTTGTGTCGACTCAGTAACAAGATGTTATTTGTGTTGAATCAGTAGCAATATGTTATTTGTGTCGACTTAGTAACAATATGCTATTTGCGTTGAGTCAGTAACAATATGTTATTTGTGTTGAGTCAGTATCAATATGTTCTTTGTGTCTAGTCAGTAACAATATGTTATTTGTGTTAAATCAGTAGCAATATGTTATTTGTGTCGACTTAGTAACAATATGTTTTTTGTGTTGAGTCAGTAACAATAAGTTATTTGTGTCGACTCAGTAACAATATGTTATTTATGTCGACTCAGTAACAATATGCTATTTGTGTTGAGTCAGTAACAATATGTTCTTTGTGTTGAGTCAGTAACAATATGTTATTTGTGTTGAGTCAATAACAATATGTTCTTTGTGTCTAGTCAGTAACACCACGTTCTTTGGTTTCTATTCAATGCTGCTTTATTTGTCTGATTTTGCAATACCACGTAGCATCTCGTCATTAATATCTCTCAGCATTAGTTTCAAATCACGAATATCATTTTTTTCTATAATATCCATAACATGAGATTCTTTTTGAAAGTCATGATCTCCGTTGTAAGTCTAAAAGTAACACTTCGGTTTCTTCTTATAGAGAATAACAGTGTCCTTATTTTTGTTTTTTTACTAATAATTATTATTGTCAGAATCTTTTTTCTGCTGTAGTCACAGCAATAATATGTTATTCATTAGAGACTTTCTTATAGTAAGTTTTCTGTGGTAGATTTATGTCGTTATCTATTTTTACCTCTAGCCACTTCTCTGCTTTAAAGTTCGCACTGTGCCCATGAACCAAGATCTTAGTGTCTGCCGACGGAATGAAACTGGAATCTGTTATACTGTCTTTATCGTCTAAATCGAGATCATCGTAGTCATCTTTATTTTTAGTTGTGTATAAATGAAACTTCGTGTTCAAGACATCACGATCTTGTGGGAGTACATCAATAGGTCGAGTGACAGGGTCAAAGAAATCTCCACCATTCTCGAAACATCCAAGATCATCATAACACTTTTCTTCTCCTAAATGAAAAACAATGTATAAATATTATAAAATTTCGGTTATTACTAGTGTCTGTAGAAGATAAGCTTATTGGTTTCTATTGCTTCGCCAGCTTTTAGCTTTTAAACCAATAATCAAGATATTACGTGAAAGAGGAATAAAGATTAAATCGTAACAAGATAATACTTCACAGTTACTACTCGTAGATTGTAAGGGTGGAACTAAAAAGGAATAAAGATTAAATCGTAACAAGATAATACTTCACTGTTACTACTCGTAGATTGTAAGGGTGGAACTAAAAAGGAATAAAGATTAAATCGTAACAAGATAATACTTCACTGTTACTACTCGTAGATTGTAAGGGTGGAACTAAAAAGGAATGAAGATTAAATCTTAACAAGATAATACTTCACTGTTACTACTCGTAGATTGTAAGGGTGGAACTGAAAAGGAATAAAGATTAAATCGTAACAAGATAATACTTCACAGTTACTACTCGTAGATTGTAACGGTGGAACTAAAAAGGAATGAAGATTAAATCGTAACAAGATAATACTTCACTGTTACTACTCGTAGACTGTAAGGATGGAACTAAAAAGGAATAAAGATTAAATCGTAACAAGATAATACTTCACTGTTACTACTCGTAGATTGTAAGGGTGGAACTAAAAAGGAATGAAGATTAAATCGTAACAAGATAATACTTCACTGTTACTACTCGTAGATTGTAAGGGTGGAACTAAAAAGGAATGAAGATTAAATCGTAACAAGATAATACTTCACTGTTACTACTTTGTAGAATCTAAGGGTGGAACTAAAAGATGACTAAAAATTAAACAGTAACAAGATTATACTTACCTGTTACTTTTTGTAGATTGTAAGG